CCCCAAAACCCCAAAACCCCAAAACCCCAAAACCCCAAACTCAGAAAAGTGAATTGAAAGTTGATAAATAAAAATAAAAGGTACTCTAGCACAAACTTAAAGAATGTCAAATGACAGAATACATTAACAATTAAGGAACCATGGCGGGCTTTAATGCATGCATCCCTACAGTGGTACAGTCCAGCCATGCCTTCTATAAAAACTGGATTAATGCTTGACATCTCTGCAGTTATCCGGCCCTTCCTTACGCCAAGGCCGCCATGGCTATAGATTTTGTATTATTATTAACTATCCAGTTGCTGAGATTCTTAGAAATTTGAAAAAATATGAATATTTCTTCCTGTGATTTGAATGCAAACAAACCAAATTTATTCACCCTTTTGAGAGTCATTAATAGAAGTGATGTTTAGAGAAATGCCACAGAACAAGAAGGATTATGGATATAGCTCTTTTATCATCAATTTTTGCTCTGTATATTTTAAGAAGAGAGATCTTAATTATTACATATAGAATTCAATGAGAAGAAGTCCCAGATCTAAGATATCTGCAACCAAGTCGAGAAGTGATTACAGAGGGAACCATCGGGCTTATTCTGAGCCGCAGGTTTCCCCTAGACAGGAGGAGAACGAGCCAGATACGATATATAGCAAGTTTAGTCATTACATCAAAAGGTAATGAAATAATTCATAAACCGTTTCTTTAATAGCTTTTTGCATAAAATTAATGAATTTTGAGGTAAATAATAGGCAATTATAGGTTCAGCCCTCTAAAGGCTAAGATGGACAAGTTTTTCAATGCTTACAACAGAAGGACTAGTTGGGAGAGGTATTTTGACTTCTCATGCCCTGAGAAAATTCGTACTGAGTAACCCACTAAACTAACATATCAGTGTGAACCCACCCGCAAACAGTCAAATCACCCTCAAAGATCCCCAGTTCTCCCAAAAATGGGGGAAACTAATGGACCTGGTACTCCACAAGGACAACGAGGGTTTCACAAAATCAATGAACTCACTCAGAAACAATATTTTCATCAAGAGAGAATTTGATTCATTGGTATGCACATCTTCTCAGTAGCATCTCCTTTTAGATTAAAATGTCGATAAACAAGCTAAACATTCTTTAAAATTATTTTAAGGATGGAATTAGGGCTTAAGTTATAGGGCTAGCTTCACCCATGCTTAACAACATTTAATTCTAAATAGGCACAAAGCGTTTTGCCAGTGAAATCCAATAGAAAATAAATTTAGGTCCACGAAACGTTCGAATTCTATTGCTAAGGCTAGAGGCATTGGTTCTGGATTCAGAGTCTCCAGGAATTCCTCTTCAAGGAAATCAATCATATCTGCTATGAATGTGAATGTACCTAAGAGTAAGATTTCAATGCTCTTTATAAAAAAATTGTGAAATAAATCACATTTTATAGAAAGGAACGCGATGAAGCCAGGTGATACAAACTTTGTAAGCATTTCCTCCTTTTCATAAAATACGAGGAATAAACAATGGTGATGTTTTTAGGAAATTATTACATTAAATGAAGCTTTGAAACCTTCCCATGGAGCCCGGGTAGGTCACTTGTTATGAGCTCTAGGATAGATTAACTTCAAGATTTCTGGAAAGCCAAGCACAAGAGAGCACATACAGCAAGTTTAGACAAGATGTGAGTTATACCTCATTTTTTATTTAATAATCACTTGTTGTCTTTAGAATCTGATTGCAAAGTCCAGATATTTTAGGCCAGACATCAGACAAATGCCAAGGAGTTATAGAAGAAGGTCTAGTCCTTCAAAGACAACACTTCATGTGGAGAAGCAGCACTTTGTAGAAAGACAGAAGAATAGCTCAAAGAGGGTAGATATGAAGCTGCTTAAACTCCTCTTGTCGAAGAAACATCCTATTTTTAAGGCAAATTCCCGCACTAGGAGTAAGAGAAGCTACTAATTGTCTTAGTTTTTCTATCAATATTAGAAAATAGAGTTGGGGTTTTGGGGTTTTGGGGTTTTGGGGTTTTGGGGTTTTGGGGTTTTGGGG